AATCGAAATAACATTGTTTAAATAAAGAAAGTATTACATATTAGTGGGTAATCAATGTAAATATAATTCGAAATAGGTATATTGTGTATAGTTTATGAAACTTCTAATATTTTCTAGTTTTCTGAAGTGTGATAGTGTCAAAAGAGAATGAAAGCATTTTCTATTGATATTTTACCAAACATTTTTCAAATCACTTTTCTTTAATAACTCTTGTTCTAAGGGTTATTTTGACACAATGAATAACGGCAAAGATCGTAAAAATGCCGACTCTCGTTTAAAAAGTACTGCTGTATTGTAATCTTATATTTGTACGCATGTACTCCAGATAAATTCATGACGAGAAGCAATAAGATCCAGTCTTAACTTGAGTGGTCATCGTCATACATTACTCAGATGAATATATAACTAATATGTGCTATTAATCTAGAAAGATGTAGAAGAAACATCAAATGAGATGAAAATAATTCTGTTTGGTTGATGTCATCAACAGGTTTTTTCTAGATGGCAAACGAATTTTTTGATAAATGACTTTTCAAAGAAGACTGCTTCTTGCGAAAAGCAAAGTTTCATTTCTTTCATTTCTATTTGAAGTTTATCTTAATATTTATGTTTCAAGTTTTCCTTTTGATTGTTTATCAAATTTGAAAGATGAATCGCTTGAAGCAATAGAAACAAGCGCTGTCTGATTATATAAACAATGAATAATGGCTTTTTCTCTTCTATTGGCTTTTCAAATACTTTTATTTTCAATATCACTCGCTTGTAGGTCGAATTATTAAACATGTCAGTGATAGACATGATTTACTTGATTGAATGGGCGTATGATTTTGTTTTCTATGCTTGTCTTTCAAATAGAAGTCGTCGCCGTTGTATTGACGCTTAGTCAATCGAATTAGAGCATCAATAGAATAGATTTTTTTGATTGCCTACTAAAGCTTCCTAAAAATGATGACCGACATACAGTACTGTGACTAATCAGATACTCTTAATGCATTTGTCAGGTGTATTTTAGAAGTTCTCTAGATTTTTTTTATTTAGTAATTATGTTGAGATTTTTGTTCTTTCTAAAAGTCTTGTGGTCCCAATGATTCGTCACGTTGAACAGTATTTTTAATTTTTGTTTTTAATCATTACATTGACCAAATGAGTTTGAAAAGTCAGGGTGTACTTACAAATTGGATGAGTGTGGATCAAGAGTAAAGACACCTTCACTCACACTCGCCCATATATAACATGTCAAACCGTCAGGGAACTTCATGTGTTACTGTGTTGTAAATTGAAAAACGATACAACATGAATCATGAAGTTCAGTCACATTTTATGATGTATGCTACAGTATGAGACTGTGCTGACACATGTGACACCTGCAGAGTAAACTGTGTGCAATTTTGATGAAAACTGCAAGCGAAATATGTTTCTATATTTAGGCCTGAGTGATTTTGACATTGAGACACGATTCGGTGGCAAATCGTACTGTCACGAGGACTCATTGTATCAACACACTTTGTTAAAATCGCTATGGGTGAAATCATTGATTAATCATATAAATTAATTGAACGATAATCTTCTTTGGTGTTTCTTGCAATGTTCAACAGACAGACCCATCTATGTTCGAGAAAATTTATAATCTTTCAACTTGCAGATTCACTTTGAATTACTTTGGCGTTATCCATACTTTACATCTAATCTTTAATCCTAATATTCTTTTAACGTTTTATCACAAAACATCAAAAAAATCCTTCTCAACTTTAAATCTATGACAAAAGGATCACTGCATTTTTCTAACTCCGCGTGTTTGGAAGTTTGGTAGGGGGTATATTTACCGTTGTTGTAGAAAATCGTGAGTCTCGCTGTGTAGTACTGACATCTATACTGTCAATAGACGGTTATCTCAACAATGGTTAATATATTCTCTGTAAAACTTGGAAGCACGTGATAAAATATTTCGCGATTCTCTCGTAATATATTCGAAGTCGAGACAATTTTTTCTGTCTTTTCATGGTAAACCATGGAGAACTTCTCCGACTATAGGTCAACAATGTGACTAATGCATGATCAATCCACAATAGTGTATTTACCTGAAATGAATCAGAACTTCTTTTCTCAAGCATAATGCACGCTTCATAGCTGGTTCTTTGTCTCAACCATAATGCTTGTGATGTTTCGTGCCATATTTTACCATTCTAAGGCGTTCAACGATTCGTCAATAGTTTGTTTATTGGATTTGATCTATTGTGAAGGGATCAATATTGTTGTAATTTAACTAGAAGTACAGAAATTTAATATAGAATCGTATTGATGAAAGATAGCACTAATGAGCAGAGTTTCTAATGGCAAGTGTACACAGCGGAAGCAAAATGTACAAACATCTGCAGCTATGAAAATACACGCTGCTGTACACTTTACTTAAAAAAGCAGCGTGTACATTATTCTGGAAAATTTTATATAATATCTTTGTTCATACTAGAAGTTTTTCGTTTTTTTTTTTTTTTTTTGCTCTTTCGCTTCACTTTGGTGATGTAAATGTCTGTGTACATTTTGCTGTACACTTTGCTTATCCAAAACAGCGTGTACTATACATTTTGTTTTAGAATTCCATTAGAAACACTGCTAATGAGTTTGAGTTCATATTTACTTGAGATAATATTTAGAATTGAAAGCCAATTGACATAATTTCCCTTTTTTCTTTCTCTTCTATTTCTCTACTGGACTAGAAAAATTGTGTGACTTGAAACACTAGTAGTGTTGAACTCGGCAAGAAATCGTTCATTGTCGTATGTTCCACAAAAAAAAATCTTTTTCATGGCGATCATAATATCACAGCTTTTTGCGATTTTTAATCGTATTACAATGAGTACCAATTGGCTTCTCCTCAGATGTTGTCCGTCTCATTGCTTCACCAGACATGTATGTGTGACAATTACAAGATTGTTTAAAAGATGCTTCATAGCCGATTTATGCAACTTCGATTGGAATCGAGATATGATTCTATTATTTACAGCTCGATTTGTGCGGTTATTCAGTTATGGTATGCTCTCGGTGGCATTAGTTTTGTACCTAACTGTAAAGGGTTTCGATCAATGGCATATTGGAACTTTATTTACTGCCATTCTTATTGGAGACATTATTATCACTCTATTACTAACAACAACAGCGGATGCACTCGGGCGACGAAATATTCTCGTCATTGGTTCCATATTAAAATTGTTTGCTGGTGTCATGTTTGCATTCGTCGATCAATACTTACTTCTTGCACTCGCTGGAATAGTAGGCATAATTTCGCCCACTAGTGGTGAAATCGGACCGTTTCTTTCAATTGAACAAGCATGTATGACCGAAACCGTAAAGGACAAAGCACAGATTGCGTAAGTAACCTATCGTAATTTTTCTAAATCAGAAGATAGGATAAGTAAATTGTTAGAGCCATCTATGGTTGGTATAACTTTTTCGGCTACGTTTCTACTGCGCTTGGTGCACTCAGCTCTGGTTATATTATTTCAAAATTGACTGAAAATTATCAATTTCACGCTGCTACTGCATATCAATCCATTTTAATTGCTTATGCGATCTTTGGTGCCGTTAAAACAGTCATATATCTGTGTTTATCTCGACAAATTGAAACTACACTATCATCGGATTCCGAATCAATTATACTTGCAACCGATTCATCTTCTCGAGGCGCCGCAAAAAGACTATCCACTCATATATTTCATTGGTTCAATGAAAAATTCGGACTTCGTCGACCTACTTCACGTCGCACTGTTGCTAAACTTTGCTGTCTGTTTATCATTGATGCAATTGGTGGTGGTTTCGTTATGCAATCGATGATCATCTACTGGTTTCATGAACGTTTTCAGATGAATATTGAAATGTTAGGTTTGATGATGATGGGTGCCAATCTGATTTCGGGCTTTTCTGCTATTTTGGTAACGCCACTAGTTGGTCGAATTGGTGCCATAAATACTATGGTCATCACTCACGTGAGTACCATTCTCCAAGAAAAAATATCTAACAATGTTCGTATTCTATCTAGATTCCATCAAACATCTTTCTGATCCTTATTCCTTTTATGCGAACGAAAACATCAGCTGTCGCTATGCTTCTTCTAAGATTTTCTATTAGTCAAATGGATGTACCAGCCCGGCAAACATTCGTTGCGATCAGTGTAGATAATAATGAACGTTCAGCAGCTGGAGGCATAACAAATCTGGTTCGATCAGTTGGTCTATCCATATCACCAATGATCGTTGGTTATCTCTTGCAAGATAGTCGAAAGACTGTTCTATTTGCATTGCCTTTTGTCATTGGTGGCGGACTCAAACTTTTCTACGACATTCTTCTATATGTTTCATTTGATGTTTCAAATCGAAACCAGTCAACATACTTGAAAGATGCACGCATTAATCATGACATTAAAAAGAATAATCAAAATATTTGACTCGACTTGGATTCTGTTTTTTCTTTTCGATAAAATACAAACCATGGGTTACTTCCATTTCAAATAACGATGTGAATTTGGATCTCCTCTTGAAAATCGAATTTAAACATGTATGTCATAATTTACTCATTGTTACCTGTCATCATAGCAACCAATGAATTTCCTGCATTATTTCGAAATAGTTGTCTCAATTTTTGAATTATTTTAGAAATTCTTTTAATCAATAGTAGCAGAAGATGACATTTATATTCATTTTAAAAAGTCTATTAGAATCGTTTATTGCTTTTTTATTCATTTATGAAAAAGAAATTTTATTTAATGTTGCCAATAAAAAAAATCAAAAATAAGGAAGGAATAAGAGTGTGGATGTGCGAGGTAGGTGTAGATGCATGTCAGCTTTCTTTTAATCCTTATCAACACTCCACACCCACACCCTAAAATAATCTTATGAATGCTGTCTTTGAGAAAATTGTAATGCCCGCTGAACGATGAAAACACAAGACTGAGTTCTAAATCAATTACATATATGACATTTTAAATGTGATGTATCGACTGCCAAACACGAACCATTTCTATCTAGTGAAATTCTCCATCGCCTTTTGGTTTTTTTCGCGCAAGATTCTGCCCGTTGTTTGCTGAAATTCATCCGGTTGTCTTCTCTCTTCATATGTATCTAGATGACTGCCATCGCTTGCTCTTTCTTTTGTCAGCACACTAGATTCCTGTTAAAACATGGTTGTAAAATTAGCGGACGACCAATATTTAGTTTGATGAATGAAACCTTTAGTATCTTCACACAGATGTTTCATATTTTGCACTTCAATACATTCTTATTGGGTTTTCAATAGTCATAGATCTGATAAAAATAGGATCAAGTCAATTCTAACTTTTAACTTTTTCACTTCTCATCTTACATCTTTGAAGTTACTTCCATGGAAACATTTTATTTTCCTATTGACCAGCAAGACTCAATTGCATTATTGGATGGATTTAAACATAATATAATAGTACAATGTAGTACATTCTAACCATCGACAACAACAATTATCATAATTAGCATGGCAACAAGTGAGACCACTAGAGAAACATTAAAATTATCTATCTGAACTAGAATGACTACCTTCACGACAACTAGTAGCTTCATCGCAAGGCAACATCAATATCTACAACAAATTACAAAATCAACAGTGACATCATCAAAGTTACATTCCACAATACGTCGAGCAAACAATGCTCAACGATTAGAATTCATCTTTGACTTTGTTCTAATTTTGTCTCTCGTTTTTATCAAAATATGTTTTAGTAATTTCACAAGAATAAAAACCTTTTATTCCATAGAAGATATTCATTGGATATATTTTTCGAATAATTATTATATCTACAAGTATAAGATATATTATAGAAGAATCATATACTTATAGTGCTTTATCAACATAATGATATGCAAGTCTATAGAGTAATTTCATTATAGACGAAAAAGCATAATTAATTGACTTTATATTGGAACACTTTTCGACTGATTAGCAAAACTTAGATGCAAATTTGAGCAGTCAAGAATCTTGGTAAACTTTTTAAGCTTTACAATGCTTTAAAGTGCAATGATGATAGTTAATACCAATAAGTAAAAAAAGAATTTTTTTTCTTTAAAGAAACTTTTCTCAAGAAAAAAGTTTTTCTCTGATTACTCATGCATATAACTAAAATCATTTGTGAAAATAGAAGCAACAAAACGTTTCTTTCTATAAAACCATTAGTATGCGCTTCAATTTATTCTAAGTTGTTCTAACAAATGCTGAACTCCACGAGTCTTAGTATCAGGAAAAGAAACTTGCGACCAATCTATGTAGAAGTAACAACAACATTATTCGATGAAAATGATGAAACTCTAATAAAATAGAAGTTAACAAAGATTTCAGTCACAACACATCGGAAAATGAGTTTCTCAATAGAAATACTTTAGTGAACATTTGAAATGGAAAATTTATTTACGCTCAATGAATAAATATATTTTTGTTAGGCAAATAGTATGCCAATCTAATGAAAGAACGATGAAAAATTTCTATATATATATATATATGATTTGTTTCATATCAACACTCGAGAAGAAATAACGATAAGCCGCCTTATGCGTTGTTCTACCTTAAATAACTTGAAAATTGTTCGTTGGTGCTAGTTCCAAGCTTATTTGCTAGAGAATTTTCTTCCCTACAGAACTGTCTACTTTATTTTTCAAATGAAAGCTTTTTATTGCAAATGAAACTAGAAAGAGAATAACATTTGCTTCATACTTCAGCTAAGATTGTTTTGTGTCGTTTGACGAAGAATTTATTTCTCAACAAAGTGCTGCAAATATTGATGTAAACAAGTAAAATATTAACTTGTTTCGAATTTGAAAAATAACAATAACATATGCATATTTGAAAAGGTTTTGTTTATATTTTCTACATAACAAATTTTATTGATAAGTATTCAGTATAAAATTATAACAAGTACATAAACATATGAAGATTTTATGTAAGACGTTGTAGCAAGTTTGAAATTTACAACCGAACTGCTGTTCAAATATATCCAGTATTGTTTTTCATTTTTCGACTATCATAAATAAAAAATTGAGTAGAAGTTTATATTCTGAACTTTACATCAATAACAAAATGTGATTTCGAAAACAAAGTAAACTGTTTGATAGAGAAATAAATCCTGTATCAAAAAAGATGAGAATTAGAATCAAAAAAGCTAATAAACTGTCTCAAAAACTGAACATAAAAATGACCAATAATTATGCATTACCTATTATTATCATATGAATATCTTTCATGATTTTTGTTTTGCATTAACATGATCCCAAAGAGTTATATCATTTACTCTTGTACTCTCTTCTTCTTTGTCTTCATCTTTCATTTATAGGTTATAGATATAGATAAAAAGAAGTTTGAAAGCTGCGCTATCAAACTTGAATGATCTAATTTCTTAATTGCGTAATAGAAATCAGCTCATCAAGATCTTACAATCATTTGTTAAACTTTCTTCACTTGAGAACAAAAAGATTTTATTCAACAACTTGCTTATAGCTAGTTCGTCTAGGATGAGTCAAATCCAAGCATAAAAAAGGTTTGATAAGTCTCAACTTGCACTTGTCCATCTCTGTGAAAGATATATTCTGTTTGTTGTTCAAGAATGATTGCATGAATCTAAGCCGCATTATAAAACTAAAGTTAATATTATTTGTCTAAAACATATATTTTATATACCACAAAATTTATTACGATACGGATACGTGCTTGTCGAATAAAAAAATATCGCTGCTTAGAGCCAATGCACCTAAAGCGAACGGACATATCATGGGTCGTTATCATGACTCTAATATCTCTGTCATTTTCCATCATAAACTAATTATTTTTATATCACGGGAAAGAAAACAAAATTCTGCATCTACTACTCATATAAAAAAGTGTTTCATAGCTGTAAGAATAGTTGAGTAGTCAGCGGTAGAAAATCAAAAATTAAAAACGTTCGCTTTATGTGCATGGTCCCTAATGCGAACGGCCAGCAAGAAAATGTCCCTAAAGCGAACGCCCCAGCGAAAAACAAGCGAAAATAAAAAAAATTCAATATTCATCCATTTCTGTTTTCAGATTTCAATTAAATTTAAAAAAATTTATATCATTCGATTCGTCATATTTAGCTCTATCATTCTCTAGCGGTTCAGCTCAATCGAGATTAGTTTCAAATTTTTATTCCATTTATAAGAAAAGACTTTCCGTTCGCTTTATGTGCATTACACATAAAGCGAACGCACCAGCTATTTTAGCTAGAGATTAACCCTCGCTCAGTATTTCGTTCATTTACCATAGATAAACATTAAAATTCAGTTGAACCTCTGCTGGAAAATATCTTCAAAAATGTTACGGCTATAACATACTAGCGGTTCAATTCGAAAATATGAAAAAAAACATCGAAAAGGTACATTTTCTGTGATTTTTGTTAATTTATAAGAGGAACTGTTGAAAAAGATAAAAAAAGACTAATAATATATATCATTCTTCAATATTTCGAAAAAAAAAAATTATATCATCAGAATCAGCACTAAATTCTGATCAAAACTCATTATATTAC